CAGCTAAAACAACTTCACAGGAGGACAGTTTCACACTCTCGAAGACCAAGATGGCCGCACTTTGACTGCGCATGCGCGCTCGCCGCGGCCGCATGACGTAAATAAAGGACGCGAGCGCAGCGGGAAGCGCACGCCGAGGCCAGCGGGAGAGCTCGGCCGCAGGATTCTTAGCGAGAATCTAGAACATTCTTAAAAAAAAGGAAAAAAAAGTTCTCCGGTGGTTATCCTCGCCGACTCCTTGGGAAGCCGTGGAGCGGCCCGGTGGGGCGAGGGACAAGAAGGGAAAGGGTCGCGATCCGGAGGTGCTCAGCTCCGGACTTCTCTGGTGGATGAGAGGCGATTGCATTCCATCATGCTCACGGATAATTATTTAGGTCTAATTATTAAAACCATTTATGATCATATGATACGACTTAAGGGACCAGGGAAGTTGCACAATCGTTGCCAAGTGATCGACAGAAAGACGCAAAGTAATTAAGTAATTACATTAAGAAATCACAGAGCGTGTTAAAGTGTGAATTTCTAGACAGAGACTGAAAGTAGATAGATATAGGTAATTACAGGTAAATGTTTAAGAACCCCCGAGGATTAATATAAATAAACATCTCTCTTTCTCTCTCTCTCTCTCTCTCTCTCTCTCTCTCTCTCTCTCTCTCTCTCTCTCTCTCTCTCTCTCTCTCTCTCTCTCTCTCTCTCTCTCTCTCTCTCTCTCTCTCTCCCTCTCTCCCTCTCTCCCTCTCTCCCTCTCTCCCTCTCTCCCTCTCTCCCTCTCTCCCTCTCTCCCTCTCTCCCTCTCTCCCTCTCTCTCCCTCTCTCTCCCTCTCTCTCCCTCTCTCTCCCTCTCTCTCCCTCTCTCTCTCTCTCTCTCCCTCTCTCCCTCCCTCTCTCCCTCCCTCTCTCTCTCTCTCTCTCTCTCTCTCTCTCTCTCTCTCTCTCTCTCTCTCTCTCTCTCTCTCTCTCTCTCTCTCTCTCTCTCTCCCCGGACGTGTTACAATATGGAATTACGAGAGTATTGCTGGGACATCAGATATAGACAACTATAAATTCTATAATGGACTGTCTCGGACACAGTAGGTAACATTGACTAGGCTATGCATAGGATATCAGTACACTATATAATATGTAAAGGATGCAGTTTGGGAGGTCAAGCCGTTTTTTTTTTTATCCCCGCTGCAAAATGTGCAAAGGCGCATAATCCTACCCATTACTTACTATACTGCGCGAAAGCTGCATCATATCGATCAATTATCGATAGGTGATATAAAAGTTTTTTTTTTCTTATCAACCCGGTGGTATTTTGATAATGCACTGAAAATGGCATAGCTTTCAGGCAAGTTTATGACACTAGTGATAGTGATAGGTGATAGCCGTCTACACGAAGAGAAGGAAAGCCAGTTTGGATAGATGCTTTACTATCTTACCCTGTTTCGGAGGACGTGTATACTGTTCTGTATTTTTAAAATTAAATCAAATAAAATCAATTTCTTGCTCCCACGTCCAATTCGACCCTAGAGTGGAGCACCTGCCAGGGTCCCATCTAGGGGAGGAACAGAAATAAGGGTGGAGGGGACTCTTCAGCCTTGCTGGCAACCCTTCTAGAGAATGTCTCAGTAAAAACACTTATCAGGGAAGGCAACGGGAAACCACCCTGGCTGATCTTTCCCTTGTGTTTGCGGTTGATATCTCAGGAAATGGCTCACAGTCCCGTGTAAAAGGGTGTCATGGAGAAAATAGACGCCAGAAAGGACCTGTCGCAGGACAGAGTACTAGAATTATATATATATCAATATATATATATATATATATATATATATATATATATATATATATATATATATATATATATATAATGGTCGTAAAAATGCCTGCGTTCTGACTGCTCGCTCGAGCACGAGAAAACGACATATCGCCTTGAGAAGTCAAACGCAGGTGTCGTAGGGGAAGTCACCGCCGCGGCCGAAACGCGGTTGATTAGGAAGGGCATCCAATCAGGCAAGGGTGACACTGCCATATAACCTCTCAATAGACAATTGAGAGAGGCCTATGTCCTGCAGTGGAATGAATGGCTGTTAAAAAAAAAAAAAAAAAAAAAAAATATATATATATATATATATATATATATATATATATATATATATATATATTGATATTGATATGATATATATATATATATATATATATATATATATATATATATATATATTGATATTGATATATATATAATATATATATATATATATATATTGATATTGATATATATATATATATATATATATATATATATATATATATATATATATATATATATATATATGTATATATATATATATATATATATATATATATATATATATGTGTGTGTGTGTGTGTGTGTGTGTGTGTGTACATATATATATATAAATATAAGCGATAAAACGATGGTGTGGTAGCCTATAAAGTGTTTAGTGCGTGCATGCCTTCTTGCTTGCAGCTGCTACCGCTGGCTAGCCTAGTGCGAAAAAGGAAGCAGCTCTGCATAGGCCTCCCCTGCCAGTTCACAGCCTCTCCGTCATCGAGACTTCTGCAGTGCCTCCTTGTGGCCACCCATGGAAACTGGGCACCTTGCAGTCCCAAGCTAAACTGTGGGGGGTCTTGGAGTAGCAGGAGGCCCCAGAGGTATGGAGCCATGGCCCGCTGGTGTGTGGACACGCCCTGGTTCCATACCACTCCTGCCCCTTAGCCACCCTAGGGTTAATGGGTGGCTCCGGGAAGGTGGGCCTTACCAGCCTTCCTCTGCCAGATAACTCAACTATAGAAAATGGACGTGCTGGGGGAAGGGGTGCTGTCCCTCCCACCTAGAAAGTAAGGCGGGCTGTGGGTCCTGTTAGGAGGGTAAATATTTGGCGCAGGATGAGAACGAGAGTTACTCATCTCACCTGTATCCTGGCAGGCCCCCAACCCAGTATGAGGCCTGCAAGGCAAAACCCAAAGGAACCCCACAAGCAGACGTTGGGCCCCACAGTCTGCTGACCCCCTTTATTTGGGGCAGCGTCGGCCGGCGTCGGGTTCACCCAAGCCTTAACCTCAGGCAAGCTATCCAGGTAGACGCTTGGACATCCAGTCCTTGCGGCAGGACAAGTGGTTACCTCTGCTATCAAGGGAACTGGTGGGGAGTTGAGGTGGTTTGCCCTCTCAGCGGTGAGACCTGGCAGCGGCACGATCAGTATGGATGGGTACACATATTACTGGTCGGGCCGTGGAGATGGTCATCATCTCCAGGGAGTAGCCATAGCCATCTCCAGCCGACTTAACCCTTGGTAGTTGAGGTAACACAGGTTGAAGGGCATATTATGGCATTGAGACTGGAGAATGCTTTTGGCTTCGTGTCTCTTATTAATGTGTACGCTCCTACCGATTTGCAAACTCGATGTGAAAGAAGTGTTCTACGCCAAACTCACATTTGTGGCAGACAATTGTTCCCATCAAGATATTCACATTGTTCTAGGCGAGTTCAATGCGATATCCGGCTCTGATCGAGCTAGTTATGAGATGTCTGTTGGCCCCCATGGCTCGGGAGCTGATCCCAGCAGCGAGAACAGCCTCCTTCTCTGGAACTTTGCTAGGTCCCAGAGATTGACGATTTCTAGCTCCAGGTATCAGCGCCTCAACCTGCATCACTGGACACGGTATAGCACTGTGGCCAAGGAGATCAACCACATTCTTGTCAGCACTCACTGGAGGATCCTTCAGAATTACAGGGTTTACTGGAGTGCCGAGTTCTTTGGCATTGACTTTTGGCTGGTAATGGCTACCCTATGAGTCTTCTTCAAAACTCCTCCAGTGACCGCTCTAGGGTGTTTGACTTGGACAGATTGAGGGAGGAGTGTGCCCGTGGGTTCGCCACAACAGTCTCTGATCGATTCACAGAACTTGAAAACCTGACGGACCCAGTTGCTCTGTAGGAGTCCTTCAAGCGCGAAACACTCAAATCAGCACAGGAGTCCATTGGTGTATGCACGAGGGCAAGACGGAATTTCATCTCACTGGAGACAATGGAGGCCACAGAAACATATTGCATGGCTCGGTTGAATGGCGATTAGGCCTTCCGTCGCTCTTTGGTGCGTAGGATTTGGACATTGCAGAGAAGGGACAAGGAACAGTTCATCAGGAACCTTGCTGAGGAGGTTGAAGGCCATTTCTTGGTAAATGACCTTCGCCCTGCCAACCAAGCCCTGAGAAACTCTAAGCCCTCCTCGCAGATGACTCAGTGGATGGATAGATCATCTCAGATCATGTTCGTGAACGTTGGGTTGAGTATTTTGAGTAGCTGTACTAGGTAGACCCTCCAACAGTTAGCTTGGATGCAAGTGGTATCACAATACCTGTGCCGGACCCACCCATCAGCGAGGAACATCCTACCCTAACAGAAGTTAGGATGATTTCTAAGCCGAAAAGTGGGAAAGCTTAACTGCTAATGGCTGGGGGTGAACCTATGGCACGGGGCTTGCTTGCAGCCTTGACTCCGTAGTCTGGTTCCATTCCTCCTGATCTGTTGAGGGGCGTGGTTATCCCTCTCTGGTAGGAGAAAGGGGACTGATGGGACTGTAGCAACTACCATGGCATCACACTGCTCAGTATACCAGGTAAGGTTTTCGCCCATGTTCTGAAACGGATTCGCGACCACCTACTAAGGCACCAGAGAACGGAGCAGTCTGGATTCACTATTGGCAAGTCCACAATAGGCCGTATCCTAGCGCTTCGAGTCATTGTGGAACGTCGCCGTGTGTTCGGTCGTGGATTGCTTGCAGCCTACATCGACCCCAATAAGGTGCATCGAGAATCGCTATGGGAGATTATGAGAGTTAAGGGAAATCCGACACGGATTATTGGCATAATAGCAAGCCTATATACCGGTATCGAAAGTGCTGTAAATTGTGGTGGAGCCTGTCGAATTCGTGTGTGTGTGTGTGTGTGTGTGTGTGTGTGTGTGTGTGTGTGTGTGTGTGTGTGTGTGTGTGTGTGTGTGTGTGTGTGTGTGTGTGTGTGTGTGCATTAGTGCATACATACATACATATGTATATATACATATATATATATATATATATATATATATATATATATATATAT